CAAAAACTGAGTATTTGTTTATAAATGTTTTTTTGATCTTTGTAGAAACAGTGTGCTGCTGATTTTCTCAAAGCTTTTTTTACAAATCTTTTTGAAAGAATTTGTTAAATTGTTCAAAACTCGAGAACAATTTAGAAATTCTTCTGTTTGTCCCATGCTTCTGGCATAAAAAGATTTAGTTTTCATAACTAAGATCTTTTGCTTGTTTTGTATCGAAATTTTGTCAACCGGAATCAAAAGCACGTTATTTCTGTGATCATATATGATTCTGTCTATCGTAATTTAAATTCATGTTTTTTTGAAAAGATGAATTTTTCTGTCACTGTTTCAAATTTCAAATAATTGTTTACCTTGTGTCATGTCGAGTGAAAAGTGTCATAGTTCTAGAACTTTTGTTTTCATAAAAAGAAGATCTTTCTTTTGTCTTGTTTATTGTTGGCGAAGAAACATCTTTTTTTATTTCTTTTTGGTTCCATTCTCTTTTTATTCGCCTCAAACTTTAAATAAAAAAAGTTTGGAATTGAACCTACAACGGCTGCAGTACTAGTGGATAAGATCAGACAGAAAACTGAAAAGTTTAAATTGCTTAGTTACAAACAGAAGATTGGATCAATACATAGTTTATGAATCTAAACAATAAAATATTAGTTTTGTCTGCATTTTCCTTTTCCTTTAAACTAGATAATGACTCAACGGCGCTACCGTTGCATGGTACACGTGCTTTCTTTTGGTTTGTAGCTAAGTAATGCTAAAATTTTCTATGATGAAACTTGCTTCGCAAATCTTTTTAGTAGTTTTAGATGCTTAAGTTTCTTACGAGTTTTTATTGAAAGTTTCAACTAACTGCTTCTTAATCTCTTAGACACGTCTTATATTTAAGTTCAGAACAGTCTTTCATTGACTACAGTATTGTCTTATGTAACGATGTTCTGTTCTTATTTTTGATGCACTATCATCTGCAGCGGTAGGCCTGTGATAATGCTAAAATGACTCGTAATTTACGAGACCTGTATGCATTTTCGTACGTATAAATATAGTCATGATAACAAGTAAATATAAGGATAATATTCAAGGTCGTTCTCTTTCTTCTGCAATATTTAAAGCTGTAATCAAAAAGGAAGATTAAATCCGTTTTTGACTGTGAAATAAGTGCAATAACGATATAATATTTCATTTGTTTTAACTGCTTCACAAAGAAAAATGAAACAAAATTTCGTACTTACATTTCTCTCGTTTGTCCTTCTTCTTGAGGCATCTCTGAGTCAAACAGGCTTTCCAAAACAATTTGTAGCTATATTAAATCAAACATCACTTCAAGCATGGCAGAATAGTGGTGTACAACAATTTGTTTATGATTCAATTCTACAGCGTATTCGATTTGATTTGAAAGGTTGGCGTGAAAAACAAAATGAAACTTATATGATACAATATAAACCATCTGGTGCTGAACACGGATCGGTAAGTTTATCTAGCATCCGTTCTGAAAATATGCACGATCTCATTTTCTTCGTTTTAGCCCGCAGCTGACGGTTACACTCTCTTTAACTTCAATCCCGATTATCCAGAAAACACTAAAGTAAGCTTCAAAATGCATTTGTGAAACATCTACTAGTTTTATGAAATATAAAGAAAAATGCTTTGAAATGCCTGAAAGCGATAGGAAGCACACCCTGGATAAGTCTGACTTTATCGCTGACATCCAAACAAGTTTTGTTGCTATATTATTAAGGGTCACTGTTGGTACAATACACAACCAATGAAAGATTTAGGACCAATCCCTTTCAGCTGGATGACTGCTGGAGGCGATATTGACATCAAACCATGGTTCCCTTTGCCATCAAATTTAATCTACAAAGGTGTTGAACACATAACGGAACTCGATATTGACGCATCGGTACTACTGTAGTTTTACTTGTAACGTATTTTTCTTTAACTTGATGTTTGTGTCTGTGTACATACTACAGAGATATGATTCTTCAGAAATGTGTGATCTACAACAATCTGACATTGGTAAAGTACCATGTCTCAGTTATTTTGAGACAAATGACGAAATACCAGTTAAAACAATTACGGCAAAAGCAGCTCGTCCGCACTCCTATGAGACTGATGAGTAAGTAAAATCAGCACTTATAGTAAAATTCCGAAAGAATGAGAATTGTACAACGGAGAGCTTGTGGACTAGTTTTTTCGTCCAAATATTTAGATTTCATCGAAGGCAAGGGGAATATTGTGTAGGTGAAATTCAATTTTGGTACCGCTTAGAGTATGAGTAGGCGCATAACCTATAATAAGGGCGACGCTGTGGCCTCCATCCTCATTTCTTCCAATCTGCTTCGCTTGTTTTTCTGGGGAAAACGTATTTTCCGAAGTTCTGTAACAATTCTCGGTTTTGTTTTCTGTTTTTTGTCAGGTACACATCTACTGTATACTTATCTTTTACACTTGGCATTCCATCTGAAATTGAACCGTTATTCAAATTACCAGACCAATGGCCATCAGTATGTGGCAATGCTAATAATGGTAATATCTCTTTCTTTCTTGTTTTTTGTGGCATTTCCTTTTTGAAACTTCTGCTTTCTAAGATTTTTTATTGAGATACGCAACGAGGAGTAGGGAATCCGTTTACGAAAGTCCAAGAGCTTCTGTTGGTCACAGTTCGATGTTAGCCGTTCCTTTTTTAATCTTTGAAAGGTTATCTCAAAGAACCAGTACGTGGCTTCGTCGTTACACCGAAAGCTGCGGTGATAATTTCACTCTACAGCTATTAACACCACCCGTCCACTCACTTGGTGATGAAGTCACCATTACATTCAGTCCTAAACCGAATTGGTATTATAATGGTACGGAATGTGCTAGATTTACTGTCAATGGAAATGAGAAAATTGTTTTTACGTATGAAAATTGGAATGAGCCACAACAAGTTGATCTAACATTCAGAGGGTATGGATGTTGCGCTTATGAAATTGAGGGAATAGGTGGAAGTTACGAATGGCAATACCAAGCACAAACATTTGTAGTTTATGGATGTGATGGAACTGGAGGATACGGATGTAAAGGAAAAGAACCATGTGGGGCATAAAACACTACTATTTTCAATAGTTATGTTTTCCACCTTAAAAGGAAATCTTTTAAAAAAATAAAAGAAGCAACAAAAGCTCGTGTAGATGAAGAAACGTGGGGTTATCCTAAAACAGATCAATCAGATTGCTAATAACTAAGAAGTTACCGTTATTTCAAGTTTCTCAAAAGTAACTCGAAAGCAACTTACGAGGGAAGTACCCCAACTGATAAATCGCTTTTTCAACGAAACCGAGTGGACTATAGGTAGTCGACGATGCTGATTCCGAATATCACCATGAATGCTGCTGCTAGGTCTTCAAAGACCAGTCTTCTGGAAAACCAGTTTTCGAGAAACTCCAAAGAACAACCAAAAGCTTTCTTAATGAGGCGTAAGTGTAGTCCATAAATTTCTGATTAAAACGAGGCATCTCCCAGTTAATTAAGAAAGTGTTATTAAATTTTTCAGCACGGAGCAGTTATAAAAATATTCCTATCCGTTCCTCTTTAATCATAAAAGCTTAGTGCTTATCTAACTTAGATCGCAAGAAAGCTTTTCAGTGTTTTTGTTTCGTGATTCAGTTTTAGGCCGATTCTTTGTGTAAAACTGCACATAGAACACCGGCTTTCGGACAGAACAAAATTAAAAACGTACATGAAAAAATGAATCCCGAACAGGTTCGTTTGATGCTGACGGCGAGTACTCCAAACCTATCTATTTTTTTTTAGTTTAGAGATGAAACATTTTTTTTCACGTGATTCTAACCGTCATACCCATAGGTAATAATTAACCGATACTTTTTTTAATGTTACCTTACTGAAAACGATTTTTATCGAAACCATGGCAGAAACCAAGAAAACGCACTACCAAGTTTCAGTTTCATGTAAAACTAAAGTCATTTTCGAAATCAATATCAAAATCTGAGCTGAATGATATGTGCTCAAATAGTTTTAGATGAATCTGAGTTTTTTTGGATTGTTGCGCATTTTTATTAGTGAAGAAGTATTAGTGTAGGCATCGAATCGGTGACGCATCATGTTAATAGCGGATGGTGTATCCAGTAATGCACTTTGAATGATAGGTTAGATAACGAATTTTATCAGAAGATTTCCACATAATAAGATATATAAGCGGAATCTGTATCTAATGGTGAAATCGAAACGTTTTTAGAAAACCCCAAACAAAAACTTGAGATCGATCGTAATGAAAAAATGAAAGTGGAGAGGCAGCAGTAGATAACGTCAATTGCCTATTTTTTGCAGCAGAAAATGGTGGAAATAGATAGGAAACGAATGTTATTTATTTATTTTTTATAGAGCTCAGCTGTTAGCTGAAGAGAATAGCCCACGCGTCACTATCTTTTGTATAATTTTCGCTAAAAACGACAGACTAAGACTGTTTATTTACGAAAAGTGAGAGTCATCAAAGATCACTGACCAAAAAAAAGAAGAATGTACCGTTTGCGGAGAAAAAACTTCAACAGAAGCTGGAATGTGAACATATTTAGAGTGATGTTTGTCTTCAATGGCTTTGAAATCACGTGGAATGGTTTTAATCCTTGTCGATGGCGTTCACGATGAACGGTCGAATAACTCACCTGCTGTCTTGTTTTCTCCAAAATTCCTCTTGCAACTTTTGGAGAGGTGCCGCTTCTGATACCACTAGCAGAAGCGATAATATTCTTGCTCTCCAGAGAGACCACTTGAGGCCGACCACCTCCAAATTGTGTATAGCACTCCTCGACTGTTTTATTCCAAGTTCGTCGTACCCAGTCTTCGCTACGATGGATCTTTTCGGAAATCCATCGGCGACTGATAAATGAGTCTCCTGTTCTTGTAATCATTTCATCGCGTATCTCACGGTGTGTGATACAACGAAGTCTGTCCACAAATTATTGTTCTTCTGTGTCATGAAGAACAGCAGCCATTTTGATTCGCTAAATTCAGATATCACAGGCTTGCCGTAATTTAATTAATATTTACTTCAATTTCTTACGTAATGGAAAAAGTTATCTTCACGAACAACAGACACTTAGAAAAGGAAAGAAATGAAAAAAACTTGAAACAGTGCCGCTGGTTATTCAGTCTCCTTTTTCTCCATTCTTCTCTTATCTGTACGTGCACATATGCACGCATCGTCTTCTTCTCTCTGTTTCTTCCCTTTATTGTTAATCATGAGTAGTGAGTCTTTTTCAATTAAGGATAAACACATTATCAAGTTCGTGTACGTGTTTGTAACAGTCGAACAACATGGTTCGACGACTTTTCTCTCAACTATTTTCAAGAAAGCTAAGACGGATCCCTACAGTTGAAGTGTGATTATAGAACGATGTTTAGACTAAAAGACGAGATGATAAGAACAACTACAAGAAAATATATTTTCAAGAAATATGATTTTCAATATTATTTATCATCTATACTTCCGGTTGCGCTAAGATGATAGATAGATAGATAATAGAACGAATCCCGGCAACTTGCCTCCTGGTAAGATGCCTCCCGGGCACTTGCCCCCAGCGTTTTGTCTTCCGGACATCTGCCCCCCGCGGACACTTTCCAACGCCACTTGTGGAGAGCACTTTTCTCTCAACTATTTTCAAGAAAGCTAAGACGGATCCCTACAGTTGAAGTGTGATTATCGAACCGTCCCACTGTCTTCTGTTGTTTAGAATGCAAAAAAAGCATATTTACCTGGAAGCAGAACATAAATCATTGGAAAAACATGGTTCATATAATCACAGTGAATTGTATATAATTGAAAAAACAAGCCCGGAACGACGGAGAATGTACCATCGAGAAAGATAGTTGTTGAACGTTCCAATATTCCGAGATGCTTTTTTATGGCGAAAATTAACATCTGTTTATCTTTCAACCCCGAGTCATGCTGTAAAAATGTACGATTTGCAATTGTTTTTGTAAATTCATCTGGAATTACGATTGCATCCCGACTAACTGGTAAAGAATAAGGATTTTGATATTTTTGCCGTATACGGCGCACAGTTCATTTCAGATTTTTAATATCAGGCAATGAGGCTACAGCTTGGCTTGATAATTGACTGATATCAGTTGCAACAATGTCATGAGTGTTTTTTACTTGTCATTTTTGCTTCATTGGCCATTTGCGTTCTTATCGCTATCATTTCAGCTGCCTCCGCTTTTGGCTCATGATTGTGTTCGCCGATTGATAAAACGACATTGTCGTTAATTGTATGTATTCTTCCTCTGCACTGCCCATGACGTTTTCGATCACAACACCATATTGTTTTATCACCCGATGTTTTATCAACAATATAAGCATATTCAGCGTAAATAAAGATTGGCTTACCTTTAGTGGTTTCCATGTCTATATCCTTTACAGTGAAATGTGATGTGACTATTTATAAGTTGATAGACAGTATCAACGAAAATAAGAGAAATCGAACTATTATCAAAACATGTCTATGAATCTATCATTTCTCTAGCAACATTATTTTTTTCTGCTACATTCCATTCTCTTTAAGGGGTGAGGGTGAATATTACGGGGTTGTTCGAATATTACGTAATCAAATTTTCAGGCGTTTTGAACCCCTCCTTCCCCCCTTGTAATCATGGGCCAATCCTTCAAGGCGCCAAAGACCTGACGGTTCGTGAAAATAATTGAGAGAAAACTACTGTTCACACTAGCAGGAGTCCACATTGCAGAGTCAATATCACACATCAGAAGCGGCAGTTCAATTTGTTGCTGAAAGTCTATCCGAATTATTCATAGTAGCTTCTTCGCAAGATGTGGTATGAATTAGAACTTTTTTCCCACTTTGGGAATTGTATATATTGTATCTGGGAACTTTATTCCATAGTTTTTAGCGCTTTTCTATTTCAGAACCTTTCCCTGTTATCTATCGTGATCGATAAACTAAAAAGCTCATATATTCGTACGAAAAAAACCGGTGAATACTTTGATTACATTTCTCCTATCAGTAAACAATACGAAGTAAGATTTTTATAGGCTTGATGCTTAACATCATTTTTTTATACAATCTACGTTCCAGACTTTAAACAGCAAACAAAAAAAATGTGAAGTATTCTTATGTTCCATTTCTGACTAGTTTAAAGAATTATTTATTGTTGTCGGAAGTTCATGCGGATCTTCACCGACGGCTGCCACCCTACGATCCCAACTGTATTAAAGATGTTTACGACGGCGAATTTGGAAGAAATTATCCGCAATTCAATCAATCGACTTACCTCAAAATTGAACTAAGTAGTGGTGATCTAACAGTTACAAATCCTATCAGTCATCGAGCTAGCTCATTATTTTTTTCTATTGGTCATTGTTAAATTTGTCAAGAGAAAAATGTGAGAAACAAAATGCGAAACGTTTAATCGCTGCTTGTCCAAAATGGGCAAGAACGTACGACTCTTTACATTACACATTACAAGGTTTTCTAGCTGACATGAAGATTCTTTCCACAATCGGTAAGAATCGTGCGATGTCACAATGACTTTTCTGCAAAAAGCTTATTATTCTAAGGTATCACAGTGAGTGTTAACGACCAGGATATAACGTATTATGGAGCATTGTTTTTCTCTTTGGGAGATTACCCTGCACAAATGTCACTGAATGATTTTAAAGCAAGTACCAGTGCAATTCATTTCTGTCATTTATGTGATATTCATCGTGATAGTCTAGAAACGGATCTCGATTTTGATTTCGAAGAAATTTCATAAGATGAAATTCTCTATCATATGAGGTATTGCTTAAATTCTTTTTGAATTACCAGGTAGTTATTGACCAGAACAAAAATCTTTGCATATTTTCTCGTAGTAAATATTCTCCACACACTTCTCTATCAATCTAGGGAAGAACTAAATTTTTATGATAAATAGAGATGGACAGGAATTTTTTTAATAATAGTCCCTTATTTAAAAATTTAACAATATTCTTTTTAGTAGGTAAATGTTCCTGTTTAGTTAGCTTAAGCTAGTTCCCAAAAAATTTTTTTTGCTTGAATTGTTTTCTGTTTGGTTCTTTTTTAGTCATTTTTTTGTTGTTTATTTTGTTTCTGTGTTTTATTTGCCTTTTTGTTCTTTCTCATGTAAAACTAATTGACTATTAATAATAAACTATGCTCAGTCATATCTATAGTAGGATATATTTTTCAATGCGTCTTAACAATTAATTTTAATTAAAGCAAGAATTGGAGACTTCGTTTGACTGAAAACTTCGTTTGATCAGTAACTAAGAAAGTGTTATGTTGTGTGATATGCTGTACAACTGCAGCGCTCGCACATTTCGTTTTTCTTTTTTAATGCCATGTTATAACCACAAACTTCCTGATCGTAATACCATTAACAGTGTTAAACCAAGCAAAAAAATGTCTTTTAGATCTAGCTTACGCTACCTAAAGGAAATAATAAGCTAGTTCAAGTTAGGTAAATGTTCCTTTTTAGCTAGCTTATGCTAGATCCAAAACAATTTTTTGCTTGGAAACTTTTACTCTCAAACGCATATACCAAGAAAATCATGCTTAATCATTCTCTCGCTTTCTAAAAAGCTCTAGTTCTTTTTTTCGACTTGATTTCATCATGTTTTACTCGGACTTTTCTTCAAGAACATGGTGCAATCAATTTTTACTCCATAACCTTCTTTCTCAAATTTACTAAGTTTTCCGTTGTGATTCTCAATTCTAATTCGACTTGACCTCAAAATAAAAGTGAGAGGCTAATATCTTTTGGTTTATTCACTTGTGAGTTTTACCGATAAGATTATATTTGTCATATGTGAAGCATCGAGCATTCACGCTTGGACTTTTAGAGAATGTGTACCCGTGGATATTAGCGCTCGGATCAGTTCGTTGCCAGAGTCCATCTACCATCGTGTGAATAAGGCGGAATGGCTGAGTCCCAACTCTCTATGCGTCAAACACGACCGAACTGATCCTCACTACATCCTGAGAGCTACTACCGGCAAAGCGATCTCACACCGAGGATACCCACATTTGTGAAGACGTCAATCTTTGAATGCACTTTCTCACTTCTGTGCATCTGTATTTTGAGATCTTAGTTACTTCATCTAACTGAGTCTATACAGAGGAAGACACCTTAGAGTTGGTGCAGTACGATTATTAGACAAGTAGATCAGATTTCTTTCTTTTAGCTTCCTCTCTCGTCCTCTTTAAAATGGCTGTGTACTCATCTTGTAAAACACTTCATCTTTTTAAAATAAATTAGTTTCAAGTAGATCAGAAAACAGACATAAACGCCAAAAACACCGCAAAGAAATAGTCTTTATACTACGCTAAAAAAAGGACGAAGTATATGTATCTTCCCAGGTCAAAAAACCAGATCAAGATCTTACACGATCGTATAAAATCTTACGGAAAATCATAGAAACGGATTCATCTTATCAAATGTTATAAAAATCATACAAGAATTTTATGAAATCTTACTATAAGATCTTACATCAAAAATCAGTTTCTGTGTTTCTTACAGAATCTTACGAAATCAGACGAAATCGTACAGCTTCGATACAACAGCAGAAAATAACAGTTCTTTGTCCGTTTTCTTATAACGGTATAGTTTTAAAAATGCCTTCATTGATCGTTTCATCAAGCAACAAAAGAATATTAAGTGATAGATGGCGCCTTGCCTTTTCTATCAGCTTTCATTATATCTGTTTACCCTACTCCCCAAAAAAAATGGTTTATTACGAAACTTAAAAGGGTATAGAGAATTGCAACCATTTCTATACCCTTTTAAGTTTCGTACGAACCTAGGTTCCGGCGTTCAGCTACGAAACCTCTATTTTTTTATTGACA